AGACCGTCCAGGAGACCGTCCAGGAGACCGTCCAGGAGACCGTCCACGAAACCGTTCAGGAGACCGTCAGGACACCTCAGGACACCGTCAGGACACCGTCAGGACACCGCCAGGACACCGTCAGAACACCGTCTGAATACCGTCAGGACACCATCAAGACACAGTCATGATACCGTCAGGACACCACCAGGACATCGCCTGGAGACAGCCAGGGCACCGCCAGAGAACCAGGGGCACTGCCAGGTCATCACTAGGTCACCACTAGGACACCTACTACACGGCTAGGACATCACCAGGACGCATTCAGCGCACGGCACGGCGTCTTCTCGTCGCTGGACTCTGATTCACGCCATGTTTTTGTTTTTAGTTTTGGTGCCTCTCGTTAAGCGTGATGTTCTCTTAATCCTCCCGGACTGATGCCAAGACAAACAAAATTACATGCCGTGCACCTGCAGCGCCTTCCGTGTGAGAAGCGACGGGTTAGGTACGTTGGGAAGGTTGGGTTAGGTAGGTTAGGTTAGGTAGGTTAGATTGTCTTAGGTAGGTTAGGTAGGTTAGATAGGTTAGGCAGGAGGATAGCTGTGAGAGGCGCGGCGGGGTGGAGGCGGTGGCAACGGCTCAGACTGTGTGCTCATGCGGCCGGCTAAGGGCAGCCTACACGGGGTTGGCATTTCAGCGTCCCGGGCAGAAGTTAATGTGACGGCGATTAGCCATGCACACTAAGCCACGCGAGATCCGGCCAACACAACAAACAAATCACAATGTGCCCTGGGAATAGACCCAAACATACGGAGGTTTGGGTGTTTCTTTACATGGGTTGCGCGCTGCTTGTCATGTACGCACATTATTTATTTTTTATCCTCCAGACAGTAGATCTATAAGGCTTTCCGCGGCGGCCTTACAGAGGTCAGCTTATATCACGGACCTTTGACCGGCCCTCTGTCGTCCATACTATGGTCGGCCCTGTAGGGTCGGCCGTACAGTCGAACCATCGCTTGCGCCCATAGAATGCCGACCGGTTCCAGCCCTTATCTGCCCCGGGTCGCCTATTAGCAGACAGGACAGGGAACCCCTGATGCGTCGGTGCATCGCGTGTCGATGGCCGGACTAGCGGCCGGCGGACCGGCGGACAGCGGCGGACAGGCGGGCGAGAGGGCGGACAGCGACCGGCGCCAGCCTCCCTCCTCGCACGCGAGCACCACCCTCGCGCGCAACAGGTCCGCACCGCGCGCACAGCAGAGCAACGTCCCAAACGTGGCATAATGATTCAAGCTTTCAAATATTGTAACAAAGTCGAATAAGGATGGGGCCAATTTAGCGTGCAGTGGAATACATATGCAATTCTCTTAACAATAGGCTTTGTAAATTTACACGTTTTAAATTGTTGCTACGATTCATAGGACACACATTCACTACATCACGGTGCGGAAGATTTTGCAATTTGAATTTGTAACTTTCAATAACATTTCTCATAAATTAAAAAAAAAACTATGAATATTTTTGGCAGATTACGACGATTTTTAAAAATTAAAGCATGAGCTCCATAGAACGCCAGTGAAAAAAGGAACACGAGCTGTGAAAACATTAGTACCTATGTGTTGCATACCTGCGGCTGTTTGACCGAGACTTGAAATCCTTTGCACCTGGCGTTTTAATAAATATATAGGCTTCAGTCAGCAAATAACAGAAAGTAAAGTAAGCGGAGCGACACAGTGGTTCGACATTTGCAATGTGCATGCCCAGTTGAGACACTTTGGATGTTGGTGCACTTTGCGCGAGGCCCCCCTCCAGACAGCTGGTGGTTGGGCCGCGCTATCGTGTGAGTCGGGGCCCATTAGGACCGGCCTCTGAAAGCCAATCGCATGCACAACTGAACGAACCCGATCCGAAGAAAGCGTGCAGATAAACCGGCGCGCAGAAGTTCGCGTACACGTGCATCATGCCGCTATGTACTGTACCATTCTAAATCACCTACCAAGCGGTGCGATTTAAAATAAAGAAAACTACAATGAAAAACCAGCAACGCACGGGAAGCTCTGAGGAAAAACAACGACTTGGCAACCTATTACGGGTTGTTAATGACTTTCACATGCACTAGCACTGGCGGACATGTCTCAAGTTCTGAATTATTGGTAAGCACTAAGAGGTAGACCGGCAAGCACCTTATACTGGACTGTGAAATTGTGAAACAGCACGTCTAACTTCCTAGCTCAACAAATGCACCCCAGACCGGCGCTTTCAAACTGTACGGATTTCTAGCCAAACTCCAAAAATAAAGTATCCGATGCAATTTTGAAAACTTGCCATGTCAGTTAAGGAGCACGAAGGTACCACATCTGCCTTATTAGTTTTCACAGCGCAGTGGGTTGCATCCCGTCTGCGTGACAACGCGACACGGCACCTCCAAATAAACACAACAACCATACTAGCAAACAACAAGTTTGGTTCACATGCGTGCCAACATAAGGCCACTAGACCAGCAGCAGGCACGTCAGGTCCGGCACTCTCACTCTTGGCTCTGCGTGTGAACGGTGTGAACCGCTCCCGCGCTTTAGTTGCTCACGCAAATCTATGAAGCGCGTAATCAATTCATTGAAAACTTAACGAGAACATTGAACACCAGCAACGTATAAGCAATATTCAAACTATAACATTCAACACGTTTTCAAAATTAGGCCTTTACATTACAAGACTCGACCCGAAGAGAAACGGGGGTTCATAAAAAGCAACAAACTTTGCGATCCGGGTGTTAATAATTCAAAATTTTTCAATATAAAGAAAAATTTAAAGAGCAAAATGACGCAGGCCAAACACTATAGCAAAAGATGAACACGCCATCCTCAACGAGTCACGCAAATAATAATGATAATACTATAGCGCATTGCCGCAATGGTCGCGATAAATGTGATCGACCGAGAGGAGGAAGAGCGCGAAACAGTCTTGTTTCACACTTTCGCACATTTCCGCAACACACTACACATTTTTCTGTGTGAAAGCAGCAAGCGGGCGGCGCAGGGCGCACAGTCTTGCTGCGCTGGCGGCGCCGGTAATGTGAAATCATGATTAAGAGGCGGTTAGCAGCGCGGAGGTGTGAGGCGAGCGGGGCCCTCGGGGGGCCCGCCAGGGCCCGGCGAGATGGTCGTGTTGACTTTATCTCCCGAGCGGTCCAGCTGAGCCGCGCCGCGCAGCCCGCACAGCCTCCCCAGCCAGGCCGATCAGGATCATGGTCGGGACGAGTGAGGCCCCCAATGAAACGTGTGGCCGGCGGCTGGACAACAACGGGCCCAAAGTCGTGTCCGTACCTCTCCTCTCTCTTTCTCTCGCTCTCTCTCTAGCTTTGAGCGGCACCGATCAAACGTCTTGTGCGCGGGCGCGCATTTACAACACGGTGTGCAGCGCGAGTATAGCGCAAACACGACTGTTTGGTGAAACTGCGGAATAAGGCATTCCATCTCCCCCGGCCCGTGTGGCGCGCAAAAGGGAATTCCCCGTGCCCAGCTCAAATGTCGGGAAATGTAGGGACAAAAAGACGACGTGCATGTAAATGCACTGCGGGGTCACTATAGTCTATCTTGTTTTTAAACGGACCCGTTTCTGCCAGACAGTTGGGGCGCGGGGCGCGGGGGGGAGAGCGTCATGGTTCAACACCACCTGTTGAGCAGCTCCACACCCACGTTACGTTACGTCTTACGTTACGTCTTACGTTACGTCTTACGTTACGTCTTACGTTACGTCTTACGTTACGTCTTACGTTACGTCTTACGTTAAGTCT